CATCCTTTTTTATCAGATTTTTTTTAATTTCTCTAGGTCTGAGATCATTAAAGCATATCAATCCCTAGACTTTAACAAGGCAATTCCACCAACAAATAACTTGTTTCTTCTAACACCTGGACATTGCATGTATTTGCAAAGCAGAAATATGAGTGATACTCTTACAGGTCCAACATTGATGTCCTGAGTTTTGCAAATTGTACATCAGCTAAAAGCTCGAGTTTGAAAATCTGTTATTTGGGGAGGAAATTTTCTAATTCACTTGAAATACAGAGTAATTTTCCTGTGGACAAATAGGCTGCATTTGGAAAATCCTTTGTGTTTCAGTCTAACATCATTCACATGGGGAAGCTGTTCCTGTTCAATCCGTTAGAGCAACTGCTTAGGCGGCATGAGTTTAGCTGTAGTTCAGCTTAACTTTTTAAATTCCCTTTATGGAAGTCAGTGTGTAACTTCATCTACAAATGATATTTGGTCCTCTCTCAGTTGCACAGAAATGTCCTTCCTGTATGAAATCCTCAATTTTTGGCTTTTTTCCGAACATGAATATATTCTTGAGTGTTTGCTCAGGATCATGGCATGATACAAGTTTGTTTAGCTGTTCTCAACACTATTCTGATGAACTGAGACTTTGATCAATGTTTTTCATAACAATCCAGAGTGAAGATAGGGGAAAAAAAACCCTGCAGAGTCCATGGTACAGACATTTAAATGTAAGTACTGGAAAATACCAACTGATGTGCAGTTTCTGTGCAAGTGTGTTAATGGGAAAAGGCAGTGAGGAGCTGCAAGAATGAATTGGCCTGCTTGTGAGTCACAAGGTACCAGCTGCTGGATTTGGATGAAAAATAGGAAGTAATAAGTATCACGTGTGCACAACCCAAACAAGCAGCTGACTGAGTCTTCTGGGAAGAAATTTATGTCTAATTAGCTGTCAATCAGTTTTTATAAGCAACTGGTTTCTGTGGAAACCAAATGTTAAGCCGTTTTGAGTGACACAAGACAAAAGATTTCTTGTGTCTGGAGCAGAGTGGAATAAGCCAGAAATTCATCTGTCCTCTCCACTCAGCATAAACCAAACAGCATATGTTTTATTATTATGTTACTAACTGCAAAAATATCAGCAACTCTGTGCTTCTCTGGTTCTTCAAAGGTCACTAGAATAACCTGATATGACTTAATTATGAAGTTACAGAGAAATTTTTTCAACTGTGGGAAATATCACACATAGATATGATCAAAACAAATATGGCAAGGATCCTTGTAAGCTTCTGCTATCCATTAATGATTCTTACAGCATTCTTTCTAAAAGCTTGGGATCTTACACCAGCTCTTTGAAGTAGGTGAGTGCTGTTAAGCCTACCAATGGAAAAAGAAAGAAGGAGCATTTTGAAAGCCTGATCCTGGACTTAAAGAACAGCATGAATTCCAAACCATGTTGCTGCAGGAACAAAGACTATTTTCCAAAATAAACAATTCAGGAATATGTGATTGACTGTAGACTTCTTCCTCAACAATGTAAAAATAGATTCTGTGGAAGTGTTTATGTTCTATTTGTGTAGTGAACACACTTGTAACTTTTAAGTCATTGAGCTAGACCCAAGAACATGCAGACAGAACAGAACTGGCCTTTATTTTGAATTAAGTTGACATGTCTGTAATTCTGGTGTTTTTTCCTATTTCAGACCATTTTCCTAAATATTTTTTTCTAACTCCTTATACTTATTTTTTTCTGCCCTAAGGTCTTAAACTTAGGAATTCAGCTATGCAATAAGCATGTGATCTTACTAACATGCCAGGATAAATTCCCAGAGTGCTTGGTTGGAATCAGCCACCAAATGCTTTGGCTGCAAGTCCTGTTAGAAATGAGCTCATCCCACAGAACGAGCTCTCTGTGGTGCCCCCTGACCTCGGTGGGAAGAGTGTGTGTGCAGCCTGCAGAGCACAGATTTCATGGAATACATATTTGCCAGCTGTAGCCAAGATTTATTGCCCAATTCTGACAGCTGTGGAGTGGCATGTGCTGTCACTATGGCAAGGAAGCATTTACAGCTGGCACTGCCCTGCAGGACTGATGCAAAGCCTGTAACACTTTGCAGTTGTTTGCAGCACACTGTTTTCACACAGGGAAATTCTAATTTCTTCATTTCATTCAGGGTGTAAATGCTTCAGTTGCAGGGATAAATGTTACATGCATCCACGGTGGCCAGAAAAGCAAGTGATGCCTTTAAGTGCTACCTGCTGCTGACATAGGGAAGCTTTTAGAGAGTGAGGTTTCTGGGAAGCAGCACTGCAAAGGTGGTAATTGTTACCTCCCAAGGGCAGATTAAAGCAGGATGGTGCTTTCTTGTCTCAGGTTGTCAGGCCTACTGTGAAGGTTGATCTAAGATCCACTGTTCTGTGGGAAAATGGCATGGATAATTAATGCAAAGCACAGAGGGCTCTTGGCAATAAAATAAATGAGACATCTAATTATCTAATGGTTTCACAAATATAATCTTATACTGTGCACTGAAACAGAGATTCCTTGCACACTCTTATTTATATAAGTTTTAGCTGTTTTTGTTTGAATTTTTAAATTGAAGTTCAGTCCAAGTATTCCTAAGATGAAGGATGAAATAGGGATACTTAATGTATGTACTTAAGATGTCCTCCATTTTCTGCAAAATGCTTCAATTTCTTTGCAGTTCTCTGGTTTTCATTGTGAATACGAGAAATACGGGGGGAAATTTAGCCCTTTGATAATGTGCAGAAGAATGTGTTTAATCCAGTCATGTAACAGATGACTAACTTAGTTAACCAGAGATTCCCATCCCTGGAAACATTCAAGGCTAGGTTGGATGGGGCTTGGAGCAACCTGGTCAAGAGAAAGGGGCATTTGGACTGGATGACCTTCAAAAGTCCATTCCAACCCAAACTACTCTGCAATTCTGTGAAATAAAAAATATTTTAAATATGATCTGTGCAGTTACAGAAATACCCAAAACTGACATGTCTTTTGAAGCATCAAATTATCAGTTTTGGATAATAAATATAAGTATAATCAGAGTGTGAAACAGGAAGATTTTAGCTGTTGCCTGTAAGTGCAAATCTCAACACATTTCTAATTTAGAACTTTTCATCTATCCTATCACCTTATTGGTCAAGCAACTGTAACTGTTGTATCCTGGTGGAATAAGGTGGGAGGTTGGCACAGCTTTTCTTGTATGAAAATACTCCTCCACAGGAACAAGAAAGATGTCAGATAATGCTGCACTCTGGCAAGTCTGTAGGAAATGTAAATTCTTAGGTCACATAGAAATTGCTCAAGAGGGGTTGTGGTGCTTTTAAAAAGCTTGGGCTAATATACTAATATGAAATGTGAGAGCATTTTGAATGAAGAGAACAAAGATGCAGAAAATTATCACCAAAGCTATTACAATTTTTACCTCAAGCCAGGATAAGTGATATTTTTCCAGGGTATATGTAAAGCAGCAGCAGCTTACTTTTCTTTGAGTGGTCAGTATGAAAACATTTTTGTTTGCTTTCATCGTGGTTATTAAGGATTTCTTAATTTCTCTGACCTCCATGATAACTCATCTGTAGTCTGCAAATTAAAAAAAGCACTACATTCTTCTCAGAGTTATCTTTAGCATCCTTAAAATGGAACAAGCATATAAAGTTTTGTCCTTGGCAAACAAACCTCTGATCATTCCTGTGTCCAGCCCTTGTGCTCCAAAACCATCTGTGGCTTAAAGCATTAGAGGTCACTGTAACAGGAGGGGATTTACCCAGTGTTATAGAAAAGCTGCAGTTTAGGCAGGAAATTGCATGTTTTTTAGAAGTTCTGTGGTTTAATTTATGAAACGTAATTTTACGCTTGAAAAACTTCTCTGTGTATCCGTAGGCGTTTGCTTGTACGTGTGTGTTCATGTGGCCAGGGGTTAAAAAAGGAGCAAAATGTTGATTGAACCTTTCTGTCTAAATCCTACAACCTGAGGTTCAGAAAGACAAGAAATCATAAGCGTCTTGATTAATACTCCGGGGCCTTTGAGACTGTGGAAGGCTGATGTCCGTTTAAAAATCCTGTTTGTGAGGATTTGTGATGCCTGCCTGGGAACAGCATCGCTGGTACTTGGGTTTTGTTACAGGAATGGGAGATCGCAGCATATTGGTTAAATAAAATAGTGATGATGCTGTATTTAGTAACTCGCAGTGTCATTTCACTTTAAAGCTATAGGGAAAACAACAAAAATGGGGGGGGGGGGGGGGGGGACCTTTGTACGATATAACAGAGGAGCGCGTTTTAAAAAATACGCAGGGACGCTCCAGAGAAGCAGCGAAGCCTCGGGCACAGCCCCGCCGCGGAGCCGGGCGCAGCTGCCTGGCGGATCACTGCGGCCCGGGGGTCCCGCTCGGGATGGGGATTGGGACTGGGATCGGCACGGGGGAGTCCCTCCGCGTACGTGCAGCGGCGCAGGTCCGCAATGAGCCCGGCGGGCGCGGCCGGGGACGTGCCGGGGGAGGCGGCGGAGGAGGCGGTGCCGCCCCGCCCGCTCTGCGGCCACAGGCACAGCCCCGGCGGCAGGTACGGGACCGGCGCTGCGCCCCGCTGCCTCCTTGATAGGCTGCACTGGGGCTTTCGGGGGAATTTCGGTGGTCGGTTTTTTTTTTTTTCCCTGTGGAGCTGATGAGCTGCGGCTCGTTCTCAGCCCCTCTTCCGTCACCTCGGTGCGGGGGGCTCTGAAGAGCCGGGGGTGCGGCGGCTCCGCTCCCCGTGCGGGGCCAGGGCCGTGCTGCGGGGCCACCTTCCCGGCGGGGCTCGGCCAGCGCTGTCCGCCCCGCGTCTCTTCCGAAGCCGCTCGGTGCTGCCCGCAGCGCCGGGGGCCAGCGGCGTTTGCGGGGTAATTCCGGGCGAGGGAATTGCGGGACACGTGAGCGCCGCGGGGCCGCCCCCGCCCCGGGACCGCCCGGTGGGGCGGGCGCGGCAACAAAGGGCGGTGGGGACGGGTGGACGGGAGGGAGGGCATCGAGGGCCGGGCTGGCGGCTGCTCGTGTGGGTCTCACCTCCCGCCCCGCTCTCTCCTGTCCCGCAGCCCCGGCGGCCAGGACCGCTCGGCAGTCGCACCAGGGCCGGGCTGCACCGGCCGCGCCGCAAATGAAGTGCGAGAACTGCACCAAAAAGGTGAGTGCGGCGGCCGGGTCCTGCCCGCCCCCTCGGCTTGCGGGGGACAGCGTCTCGGGGCCGGGGGATGCAGCCGGCGGGGACGGCTTCGTCCGGCGGCCCGGGAGCCCCGGCAGGGGAAGTGGCGCTGGCCGCCGGCCCCAAGGTCACCGAGCTTCGCGTCTTCAGCCGTGGCCCGGCCGTGACACCTCCCGGCGGAGCCCCGAGCGCGGTGGCGCCGGGATGTAGCCGCGCCGGGATGTGGCCGCGCCTGGGCCCGGGCGACTCGGAGCGCCCTCGGCTCCTCCGGTGCCTGCGCGGGGCAGCCCCTCAGGTTAACAAACCGCCCAGAACTCTCGAATCGACGAAACAGGGAAATTCCTAGGAAATTATTTCCGTCGTAGCAATTGTACTTTGAACACCGGGTCTTGCATGTGTTTCAGAACACTGTAGATAGCTCTATCAGCGGTTAAGGACATGAACAGTTCTGCAAAAGTGTTCTTACAGAGTAGTGAACGGGCTTTGCATAATCCACAAATTTCATGTTTTGTTTCAGGAGTGCAGTAAAAAACAGAAAAATGATGATACGCAAAGTACATCTGTTGATGCATTGAGTTCAGATGATGGCTCTGAAGAGGTAATGTTCCTTCTAAAAGCTGTGTTAGACTATATTCTTTTGTTTTGTGCACCCCAAAGGAGGTTATAAGGAGACAACTTTCAACTAAGTGTAACAATAAACATCAAGCAGTTGAAAACAATTATGAGCTCTTACAGACACCTCTTAATATGTGAATCAAAAATCTTGTAAAAAGGTGAAAGAAAAGCCCTTACTAGGCAAACACAAAAGAGAAATTCCAAGTTCTAAAAATTTGGAATGGCAAAATTCTTACATCAAGTCTTCAGAACAGAGAGCTTATAAGAAGAGGAGTTTTGATAGTACAAGTGGACTTGCAAGAATATCTACTTTTTCTTTATATCCAAGTACAAAATATTCCCTCTTCTCAGATGAGCTGCAGTTAGTGTCGTAGCCAGGAGTGTGAAACTCTTGATCTCACAGAATGTTTCCAGTGGGACTGTGTTCTGTTTGTTTTACCTCGTGGTACAAAGCCTAAGCCACCTTGCTGTTAAAGGGACATCTGGTTAAAGAGCTTTAATAATTCAAGGGAAAATTTTCTCAGTTACTTGGTGAGTTGATGGGGGCTGTCAGTTCTGAAGCACAGTGCAAATTAAGTTACTAGCATATGGACTAGGGGCTAAATTTAGATCTTTGTTTACACTTAAACATTTTGCAGTTTCACAGTAATAGGAGGAGCAGAGCTATGATTGGGATGGAACATATTATTTTGTTTACCTGTAAATAACCTTGGATATTATGCAAGTGTCATAGATTGTCCTGCTTTAAACTCAATAGTGATACTGTGTTTGCTTTTCATCTAGCTTATTGCAGAGATCTTGAAAATGATTTGATCATTATTAAATACTTGTTTACCTTTTTTTTTTGCCACCAGAAAAATGAGTTTGATACATTGGCTAATGCTAAAATACTCCTTAGCGACTGCCTAGCTTGTGATAGTTGCATGACATTGGAGGAAGGAGCCAGAGTTTTCCAACAGAATCAGAAGGAGTTCTTTCGTGTTCTCAACCTTAATAAGGTAAAGTGACCCAAACAATAACCCACTGTTTTCTGTGAGGAGGAGGCAGTTACAGAATGACTAAGCAGCCTGGTTTCCCAAGGCAGATAACGTGAAGATTTGTCAGGATATGTTTTTTCTAAAGAGGAAGTGAAAACTTCAGGCAGCTCAAACGTTAAAGTACTTAAAATAATTTTGTACTGGAGTTGAGGTCACAGCACTCAACTTAAGCACCAGAGGGAAGTTACTGCACCTGCAGGAGGAAAGTTTATTGGCAATGTGATGATTTCATTACTGCACTAATAAATTATTCTGTAGTTCAGTGTTTATAGATACTCATACCTTCATTGCTAGGACTGTTCTGGATGGTTTTTGGTGCTAATGTATCCACAGTATACAAACCTATGAAGACATTCTTTTAAAATTAGAATTCTTTTTAATGTATATTCAACCTGACTACATTTTGTCCATATTCTTAGTAAACCTCCTAAGTGTTCTATTGCTGTCTTATTTTCTGCTAACTTCTGGTTTTTTTCTGAAAGTTAGTTGCAATGTGTAGTGCTCAGATCCTTAGAACCTGATATTAAATTAATTATTTTATGTCTGCTACAGACTTCTGTGCAAAAGCTACTAAAATTGAAACTGCTTCTTGTTCTGTACATGTGTATCATAAATATGGATTAATTACAGTGCTTACATTTTCTTAGGAGTTTAACTCTTCATACAGAATGATGTAGTCATATATGAGAAAATTAGAAGAGAAGGGGAAGAAAATTATCTTTTGGGTCACATGGGTTCTGTTCAGAGGGCCTGAATCCTACAACAGCAAGGCTGTCAGGTACCTTCATCACAACTCCAGGGGTCCAAACACAGACAGTGAGCAAAGGACAGTCATGAGCTCTGAGTCAGGAGCTCTCCTTGAAGGGTCATTGCCCAGCATGTGGATCAGTACACACTCTGGGCTCCCACCTTTGCAGGGTGACACTTGTCTGTAGCACAGTCCTGCTTTGTCTTCCAAGGGTTCCACTGGTGTGGAAAATGTCCCAGCTAAAACACATGATTAATCTTCAGCTAAAGGCCAGTCATTAGAGCTGCACAGTTCCACACCATACACTGGGTATTCTCATAGGATTCCTCAGTGCTTACAAATGCTGATTTGTTGAGAGTCCCATCTTGCCACTTTCCCTGAACAACTGCAGTGATAAAGACACGGGAACCTTAACAAAAAATCAGATATGTAATTTGCTGGGTTGTATTTATAGCTTCAAATGCCCCTGCTTCTGTAAACATTTTTATTAATGTTTAAACATGCAGCTCTTTTCATATTTGCTAGAATATTTCATTCTACTAGAGCATCAGAGGTGCTGAATGTCCCTTAACTTTCCTTATGCCACTTGGAAACCAACCACAGAATTGTCCTAGGAAGGGTGGTTTTCCCCTGAGTTATATAAAAGAAACATCTGCAGATGGTTGGAGATGAACACTGTCAGGAACAGAGGAACATCCTGTCCTGCTGCAGCTTGATGGTTGTTTCATGGGATTTTTAATGATCTGGTCCACTGAAGCATTAGACTCTAAGGGATAACTCCAGGAATGGGAAAGGAAGGGAAAACAAGGAGCCTTACCGTGTTGTAATGATGTATCTTTTTTTTTTTTTTCCTTTGTTTAATTTACCAGAAATGTGATACCTCAAAACACAAAGTGTTGGCAGTGTCTCTATGCCCTCAGTCATTGCCTTATTTTGCTGCTAAATTCAGTCTCTCTGTGAATGAAGCAGCCAAGAGACTCTGTGGTTTCCTCAAAAGTCTTGGTAAGTTTGCATTTGTTAGGGTGGTGAAGCAGAAAGGGAGGGATTGTTTTGGTTGGTTTTGCTTTCTCAGCAGCCTTCCAGTACCTGAAGGGGCTGCAAGAGCTGGAGAGGGCTTTTGGCAAGGGCATGGAGTGAAACAGGGCAGGGTTAGATTAGACAATAGGACAAAGTGGGAGCGGTGAGACCATGGCACAGGTTCCCAGAGAAGCTGTGGCTGCCCCATGCCTGGAAGTGTCCAAGGCTGGGTTGGACTGGGCTTGGAGCAACCTGGGATAGTGGAAGGTGTCTCTGCCCATGGCAGGGGGTGGAACTGGATGAGCTTTAAGGTTCTTCCCAAGCAAAACCAATGGTGGGATTCCATTCCGTGATATTTTGTTATGCAGTCCTAAGGTGCCGTTGCACAACCTTGTTCAGAGTTTGAACTCCATGCTCTGGGAAGTTACAGCCAAGCACCAGTGCCACATACACCAGTGTGAGAAATGGGCTGGAGACATTCCCTGCTCACAGTAAAGGTCACAGAACAGGAGGACATTGTACAGCTGGTTCCAAAACCTTTTCTGCCAAGAAATCAGGGAGGGTTTAGTCACAAGCTTCTCATTATTTTATAACTTGAGGGAGAAGGTAATTCTTATTCTAAGTTCCTTTCAGTCCTTTTGACACATTGTATCTCTAGAAGATTCTCAGTTCTGTTTTTTTCGTGTAATTTGAAATTACAAGAATGGTTGTATCTGCCTATTTTATGTTAAAGCTGTATTTCCTTTGCTCATTATATACAAAGTTTTAAATAAAAAGCAAAAGCCACTTTCCTTATAAATTTGGGAGGTTTTTTTTTATTTATTTGAAGGAAGAAGAAGGACAGTAAAAAAATCTATAAACTGTTTCCTCCCATCTGTATCTATATATATATATGTATGTATATATATTCATTTTTCATGTTTTTTCTGATGCATCTCTGCACTCAGTTTCTTCATCTCAAAGCATTGCGAAGTTCTGGTGGGCCCCAGTTTTCCTGGAATGCATTCATTATCTATACTCACTTCTGTGGGGACGTGCTCAGTGTTACGTAGGCTTAGGGGGAGTGTGTTGCTCAGTGAGCAGCCAGATGCTCTCTGCTGTGTTGGTGATATGCTCCAGTACCTCTGCAAAAAACTTGAGCACTGGCAGATACGCCTCTTAGCTGGATATAATTTTTTGTGACTTCAGCACATCTTGAAAAGAATTTTGCTTTGCAAGAGTCACTGCATGTCACCCAGGAGTCGTGACATCCTGTTCAATTGAAGTAAAAGTGATGGATGCAAAGTGCTCAGAAGTATGCAGAGTGTTTGCAGTGCTGCTTGCAGCATTAGCCACTTGGTGGTCCTTTTAAACTCAGGATGTAAAGATGTTTTTCCGCTGTATGGCTTTTATTTGTGACTCTACTGTTTGTGAAAATTTGCAGAGGGGAAAAAAGAGGGGATCCCATGTTGATCCTTCAAGATTTTTCATAGGCCTGGAACTTTGAAATGTGTTTGTGGGGTGGAAAACATCCTAGTGATCCCCTGTTCCTTTTTGCTTGCTTCCCTAGGGGTGCATTATGTATTTGACACCACTATAGCTGCAGATTTCAGTATCCTGGAGAGCCAGAGGGAATTTGTGCAGCGGTACCAACGGAGGAACCAGGAGGAACATGCCTTACCAATGTTTGCCTCTGCTTGCCCTGGTAAGAACTGATTTATCCATCCTTCCTGCCCTTTAGACTGGTCTCACTGGAACTACCAAGGAGCTGAGGAAAGGGTCGCTTCCTTTGGGAGCCTTACATGACTTAGAGCATTTTTGATTTGCTTTTCAGGGACACCAAGCACACGGTATTTGTACCCATTATCACTGGTCATCCTGAGTGCATTTCAGTGCTTGCAATTGAGAGTCAGAACTCGAATGGAGGAGTTTAGTGGATGCTGCGTGTGTGTTCAGACCACAAAGTGTAACAGGGCATTTCCTCATTGAAAAGAATCTTAAATGAACTTTAATATAATTAAACCACAACCTTTGTTATCTTAAGCAAAGTTTAGAACTTGCCACTTAAGCCTAGGGGGAAGAAGCAAGTGACATTCTTTGTGATGACTGTGAGGTGGATATGTCTGACACTTGGAAAGTAATTCTGACATGAAATGTCACAGGCTTGACTCGCTGAATGTCTCACTTCTGAGAACCTTGCATCTGAGAAGGTGTTCTGTTATGAGCAGAACCTGCACTTGTAACAGCTGAAAAGATGCAGAACATGCAGTCAGTGCTTTCTTTTTCCATTGTTAGCATAGCACCATTTTAATTCAAGTAAAAAGTCACATTCCTAAAAAAGAAGTATCAAAAAGGAGGCAGAAGTAACTCCTTTGTCTAACACCCTCCTCAACTCCACCCTAAAGTTCATAGTGTTGCTTCTCAAAGGGCTGATAAAAATACCAAAGTATTTCTTGCTAGCTTTGAAATAACTCAAGTGGTTTGCATTTATTAAACATTAGAGTGATGATGAGTTGCTGTTGGTGATCCCCAGAATCTGCTGTTGTCATTGATTTGAAGTTTAAATACTGCTGTTTGAACCATACTTGTATTTTTGTTTGTTCTGTGTATTTTGTAGTGGAAGTATCTGGGTTATGCTTCAAGTACTACATATATATATATTAAAAACATGTTTCTGTTTTTTCTGTTAATGTTATCTTAGTGTAACCTCTTATCTTCAGTAGCAGACATATAATACATTGCTTTTTTTCTTGTAAAACCTGTGCAGTTGAAATACCCCCATTACTTAGTTTTGTTGTCTTGTATGTGCTTTAGGTAAAATTCAAAGTCTGAGGATTTCTTTTAGAATTTGCGAGATAATTTTAGTTTTCTTCATCTGGAAACAGAGCTCAGATTATCTGCTGCTCTCAGTGGAAATATTTTATAATAGATAACAGAGCACTTTTCTTGTCCTTGTGTGGTCTGCACAAGGTGGTTTCTGGTGTCATTGCTGGTTTTGGTGTCAGCTCTGTATTGTGATAGAGGTGGTAACAGAAGCATGGGTGCTTTCCATTTCTGTGAAACTAACCCAGAATATCACCTTAAATCCATTTTGAAAACATATGGTATATTTCTTTGTCAGCAATTGGAGAAAACAAAAATCCTGATTAGTCATCTTTAAAGTGAGGTTGTTCAGTGTGTTTCTTGACCTTATTTGAGTGCATTTTCTGTTCCTTCTTCTCCTTCCTCTTTCTACCCTCAGATTACATAAATTTGTCCCAGAGATGTTGTTTACTGGGTGTGTTTATCACAAAATGGTTTTTCTATAGCTCTGTAGATGCAAGGTCAAGTACAAATGCTTTACTCTTTTTTATCTTGGTGTGTGACTTTGCACAGACCTATCCCCCTCTGCAGCCTTCTGGGGTGTAACATCTACCATGAGCAAAGAGCAGAGCCTGGATAGCCCAGAACCTGAGAAAAGCTGTTGTCTTGTCCCTGTCTTAATTGTTCAGCTCCTGCTACTCTCTGGGGAGAAACTGAGCTCATTTTTTGGTTTGTTTCCTGTTGAAAGAACAGTACTGTTACTACTGATAGTATATGCAATATCTCAAAATAATCAGTTCCCTTCCTTAATGTACCAGGTTGGTGAGCAACATGAAGCACTTGCCTGGAAAATCTAGTGTTTATAAGGCACTGCCAACCTCTGTGTCCTCCCAGAAAAGCCAGTGAGGCAGACTTGCAGCAGCAGTAGGAAGCTCATAAGTATTGAGGATTCTAATGCTTTTGTCCCAGTCCCAATTCCCTTTTCCAGGAATGGGGTTTTACAGTAGCAAAAGTTTGCTTAGTTTCTTTTACACTTCCTACAGATCCATAGATGCACCTTCATGATTTTTCTCACAATAAACCACCAAAGATAACATGTTCTGAGCTGCAGCTGCAAGAGCTCATATGGTGACTTGTAGTGCCTTCTGCTCTTTGATGCCAACACAAGCCAGCAAATTGCCAAGAATGCAAATGAGTTTATGAAGGGTGTGGATCTGGATGAGTGCAGCTGTACCCTGATATAAGAATGGGGTCTCTGAGGTTTTCCCTAGCTGTGGCTCTGCAATTCAGCCCTGTGATAAGGGGGCAGAAGCAGCAGTGTGTGTATGGAGTGCAGGTAAATGCTCACTCACCCAGGCTGCCTGTACAATTTACCAGTGACTAATGAGACTAATGATCTTTGGGAGCTGCTGCTATGAGACACTTGTTCCATCCATTGCAAGGACAGAAACAATTTAAGGAATGGCTTCAGACAATATCTGTCAGAAATCTCTTGGGATTTAGTGAAATTTCCTTATAGGTCATGACTACAATACCAAAAACATTCCAATTATAAGAGCACTCATAGCAGGAGTGCTGGGGTGATTAATGGTGAGTGCAAGTGTTTTTAAAACTGTTTCTGTTTTGTTTGAAGCAGTTTTAGTTCTGTTTGGATAGCACTTGAGACTAAAGCCATTTAATCAATGGGATGTACCTATCATGCAGAATATGCTACTACAGCTTTTTACCAAGCACCAATAAATTCAGTGCTTTGTTGTAGGTAATGTCTTAGACTTAAAGTCCCAGTTGAAGGTGGACATTAGGCAAACTTCCAGTTCAGAATCTTGAAATTCAGTACATGATGGGTAAATCCATGGTCCTCAGCTTTTCCTACAGCAGAATTGAATGCTTGTTGAAGATGTGTGATTTTTTTATGGAAACCAGCCTGTACGTTAACAAGAATTGGGAATACTTAAACAGCTTTGGGTTTTCCTAATACTTAGCACCTTCTCATTTTCAGCAGTAAAATGTTATTACACTGAGAAGACTATTTCTCTGCTACAGAGAGACAAATCATCTGAACACTGCTTTGCATCCCAGTTTCGAGCTGCTGTTGGCATTTGTTGTATTGTTCTGACTTAAACAGTACCAGGTGTTTTTACATAAGTGGTAATTTCAAGCTTAAAAATTAACCTCCAGGTTTTCCCCTTCCTGGGCAGCATGTACTACACAGCAGTTTCTCTCTTTTATGTAATCACTAATTTGCTTGAAGACAAAGCACAATTCTTTTCACCATTTCTTAGCACCAGAAGCAACACACCTGCCTCGAAGGCTGGACCTAACTCTCCTGCACAATGTAGGTGTCATGTAGATGAAAAAAGCTCCAACCCTTGCTGTGAAGAATTCTGGGCTTTTCAGTAAGAGCTACAGAGCCCAAGAAAGAATTGCACACCCTAAATACCTTGATTTGTTCATTTACTAGGGGAATAATACAACAGCTCTAGATGTTGGGTGTGCTCTGGGTATCTACAGCTTGCCCAAGCTGGAATGCTGAAGGGGTCTGGTGAAAGAGGGGGATTCCTGAGGAACTAAGGACAAATGTTGCATACAGAGAGATTTCAGGTGGCTCCTGTGGGTGTGGGAGTGTGAGGGTTTTTCTGAAGGTGTGGCTATTCTAACAATAGTAAAAGAAGCCATTTTTTTCTAGGCTTAATCCATGTGCATCTTTATCCATTTATCCAACAGTCTCTTCTGTTCTAGGGGAGGCAAGCTGGGTGCATGGATATTAAATCTCAGGAAGCACCAGGTTACAGTTAAGCAGCCAAACAGTGAATTTGTTGTAGTATGTGGTGATCCAGGGGCTGAAGTCTAGAAGGTCAAATTTTTGTTAGCTGGGGTCTTGTTCTTTCTGCTTTGTTAAGTCTGTGCATGAGGAAGTGGGTAACATGTCATGAAGTTCACAGTGGACCTTGGTCTAGAATTACTGACACAGTGAATTATTGATTATTGACTAAAGCATTATTAACAGAGCCTTGAGGTTCCCAAGGTGGGGCTTCCAGCCTACCCAGAAATGTCCTCCCTATTGTGAAGGTGTCATCATTTTCAGGATCTGTTGTGTGACTGCTGCCACTTGCTGTGCTTATGGGTCACTTCTCTGTAGCTGACGTGTTTTTGTGCTTGCAGGCTGGATCCGATATGCTGAAAGGGTACTCACCAACCTGGTGACCTCTCACATTTGCACTGCAAAGTCTCCACAGCAGATCATGGGCTCCCTTGTGAAGGGCTACTTTGCCAGGCAGCAGGTAAGTAATTCTGATTTATTTTTACCATTATAGTCTTCCAAATAGAGAAGATGAGCTTTACTACTGAGATGCAGCTCCTAGTGTATTATATTTGTCCTTTACTTGAAGAAGAAATGATGGTCTGCTGCTGTACAGGTGCCCATCGTGAGAAGAATGTACAAAGAACCTCATTTTATACAGTGCAGTGTGAGCTGGCAGCAATCCTTGCACCCCCAGTGCAACATGGATTTAGAATTTACGGGTAAAGTTAAAGGTTAAATCTGTAGCAGTTAAAGGGTTTTTTGTGAAATGCTGCCTGTGTAGTTCTACAGCACAGCCAAAACAGGAGTGGAGGATAATAATGTGGAAATTGCCCTGTTATCTGAGATCAATGAAAGCATTGTATCCTAGGAACTAACCTTTTTATCTCCTCAATTTTGTGTGTTGAAAAAATTGCTGTTCTCTACATATCATACCAAAATGGAGCTACAGGCACATTCTGTAGGGAAGTGCTGCTGTCTGCAGGTTCTAGTCATTCATATATTGCAGACAAATTCTGAAGGGCTTCCTGTGGGTGGCAGTGAGTGAGTGACAGGCAGAAACCAGAACTCTGAACTCCTGACTTGTATTCACTTTCTAAGGCAATCAAAAAGCTGCAGAAAATGTGGTCTGAGGGAATATGGTCCAGCAAGGACACCAACTTTGGAAGTTTGTTGGTGATGCTTTGTGACTTCTGACAAATCATTATCTGTGTGCAGCATTCTTTAAAATTAATGGCTAGGGACTTGTTCCAGGTATTGCCTGCATGAGGTTAATGTCCCTAATTTTGTCCCTGCCATCCTTCAAACTGTCTTTTGCCCTTCACGGATTTCACATGTGCTCCCTTCTGTGTTCCACAGAATTTGTCTCCTGATAAAATTTTCCATGTAGTTGTGGCACCTTGTTATGACAAAAAGCTGGAAGCCTTGAGGGAAGATTTCTACACTGCCTTGTATAATTCACCAGAAGTTGATTGTGTCCTGACATCAGGTTAACTTTTTTAAACTTACCATCTATAAATATATAAGTGAATCACCATTTTTGGGTTAGCCTTTATGTCAGAGTTCGCTTTTTTCAAGTCTGCTTTAGTCATTAGGTTTTTTTCTGCTTTAAAGATTAGTACATATTTTTGTACTCCTGGTAGTACAAGTACTGCACAGGGAAGGCAGAGTGACACATCCTTTCCTTCTAAGTTGCTATTCTTCAAAAAAATCAGTTATTTTGTCAGCCTGTTAGAGAAGGTTAAAGTTATGCAAATCCATATTTAAAATGATTATCTGGCTTGTCTATGGTTGTTATTTTACTAAGAATTATTCCTAATTCATGGCACCAGTTGCCTTTTGGTGAAGATGATGTCTTTAGCCTTAGTGTCCAAACATCCTGCAGTGTAGTTTGGATATTTCCAAACTTGGCCTAACAGAAAGGCTGAGGATTTAAGCAGAATTTGGGCAAGATGAAGGCCGCTTTTCTTTGGAGCTGGAAGTGTCAGGCTTCTCAGTTACTGGAGGGAAGTGACTGTAGGAAGAGCTGGAGAATGTGACTCGAAGCACATGCAGGTGTTGGGATGTTGATCTCTGAAACAGAGGCACAGTGTTGTGCTTTGTGTTGAAAGTAAAATGTCATATGTTTTCCCACAGGTGAAATTGTCCAAATAATGGAACAGAAAAATGTGTCTATGAAAGATGTGGCTGAAGTAGCTGTAGATAGTTTGTAAGTAGTTTTGTTGTGGATTGCTTCCTTACTTTGATGACAAATGACATGTTGGAGCATATTCAACATAAATGTAAAACTGCTTAGAAGAATGTTTTTTCTTTTTAGAGAAAAAAATGTGCATCAAAGCCTGAGCTTCACCCTTTATATAGTGGCCTAACCCAGAAAAATATTCTCTTATATATTCACTGCTAAATATAAAAGTGATATGAAACAGATAATATAAACCTGCATGTACAGTCTAAATACAAAGCAAATAATTTGAGGTAGTGACCCTTTGAAATCTATGACTTGAAGATGTGTGTAGCTCCTGATTTATATTTTATTGCAGTAAAAATATTTACTGCATTAGTAGTATATGTATATGTAGATAAAGTATATATATAAGTATATGCATATGTAGATAAAAAATCTACAGATTAGACTGCATGAAGTTCAGGCCTTGAAGTGTGGCTGTCTGGGGGTGGTGACCCTGTTCTGAGCTCTCCTGTGCTCCTTGTGTAGAGCCCAGCAGTCTGATTTTCCCTGTCCAGCTGCCTCCCACAAAGCTGCTGGGACACAGTCCTGGGGCTGACCATCTGCTCTGGGCTCCCCTCTCCTTCACAGCAGCATCCTCACTGTAGATTTCCCCTTCCCCAGTATGTTCATGTAGAAGGGTAGAAGCAACACCCTTTCAGGAAATGGTAATTAATTGGTTTTTATACTGAGGACAGCAGTCAGTTTTTCAAGATGAGCTCAGACTGAGCTGTGCTTTAGATGAGAAGCACACAAAGCATTGGAGAGGTTTTGTTTCCATCCCTTATGCTTGGCTCAGGGAGCAGCGTGTGTGGTGTTTAATTCTGTAGTTAAAGAGGCTGCTCTCCCTGATCTTTGTTCAGCTGTGACAGATGTTCCTTGGTATCTTTCCAGAGGGCTGCTAGTGAAGCAATAAATGTGCTGTCTTGCACAAAACAGAAAGCTCTGGAAGTTTTGAAAAATCCTTTTCAGTTCCAGCTAGTATCCTGCTTGGATCTAGAGGGGATAAATTTGAGTGGGTCAGTCGGAACATGTTCAGAGCTGTGTTTGTAGTGCAGTTCCTGTGATTGCTTCTACCTGAGATTGTCACACAGAATGAGAATGAATAAAGTTCTTGCAGGAATAATCACAGAGACAGTCATGTAATTCTATGGCAGAATCACTTAGAGACAGTCTTTTAATTCTCCATCAGCCTGTCCAATGAAAGGACAAGCTGTTACTCAGAATGTACCTGGTTTGTTAACTCAATTTATGGAATCACAGACTATCCTGAGCCGGAAGGAGCCCATGAGGATCACCCAGCCCAGCTCCAGTCCCTGCCTAGACACCCCAAGATCCCACGCTGTGCATCCCTGGCAGGGGTGCCCAAAGGCTCCTGGAGCTCTGGCAGCCTCAGGCTGTGCCCATTCCCTGGGGAGCCTGGGCAGTGCCAGCACCTCTGGGGGAAGAACCTTTCCCTGAGATCCAACCCAAACCTCCCCTGGCCCAGCTCCAGCCGTTCTGTGGCTTCTGTCACAGAGATCAGAGCTGCCCTTCAGGGGGAGCTGCAGATCCTGGTGAGGTCTGACCTCAGTCTCCTCCAGGCTGAACAAGCCAAGTGCCCTCAACTTATATTGGAAAATAATTTTTAAAAGGACTGATCTGATAATACTGGTTCAACTGTGAGATGTAATGACATAAATTTTTGCTCTTCTGGGGTCTTAAAGTAGATCTTGCAGAGAAATTTGAACTTGAAGTCATCCTCTTAAAACAAGTCCCAGCACAGCAGCAATTTGTCATAAAGTGCTGGGTATTAAAACAGTTTTATGAATGTGGGCTCTTCAGAGCTGCTTTTAACAGAGGGGTGGTGAACTTCCTGGAGATGCCCTTGGGATCTGATCTCCCATTTTCTCTCCTGAACCGCAGTGTAGCACTCATTTTCAGTGTACACCGTTGTAACCTGGTTGCAGCTGTAGTGATTTGTTGAGATTTTATTGGCACAGTGTTACAGACTGTGACAGTTCCTAAAGCAGGGAGAATTGTCAGCAAGGACTCAGAACTTCAGAAGTAGTTTTGTATTCTCACAGGCAAAAAATGATTATTTATTTGAATAATTTTATTTAAATAGTTTTTCTCTAAAATGGCTCTTAAGTAGTAAATGACTTAAAATCTTCAGGTTGTGATGAAGGTGCATACTTATAAATTACTGTTGCTTGATGTTGCAAAATGGAAAGCCATGTATAATTTTTTTAATTAATTTTTTTCGCATCTCACTGCTGTCCTGAATAATTTACATTTTTTAAGCTGTAATAAATAAAAATGTAATGTATTTTCAGTGCTACAAAACACTTTTTAGTGGGAGAGACAGAGAAAGGGAGAAACAAACTTCTTTATTGAAGTGAAAGAATGAAATTTTTGGAGTTGATCTTCCATTTTGTTGTTTCCTAAGGTTTGATGACCTAAAGGAGGGAGATGTAGTAAGGCATGATGGGAAGAGATCTGATGGTTACCTGGAGCACATTTTTAAACATGCTGCAAAGGAGCTTTTTGGCATGGATGTCAAGGAGATAACCTACAAAGCATTAAAGTAAGTTAGAGTTTTGTATCCTTGTTATGTAGAATGGGTGAGCTAGAAGAGGGTATTTCCACTTGGAAGAGACGCGCAGCAGTCATTTAGTCCAACTGCCTGAGCATTTTGGGCTGACCAGAAGTTAAAGCATGTTATTGAGGGCTTTGTCCAAATGCCCCTTAGACACTGAGAGCCTTGGGGCATTGGCCACCTCTCTGGCAGGCCTGTGCCAGGGCTTGGCCACCCTCTTGGCAAGGAACTGGTTCCTGAAGGCCAGGAATTCCCCCGCTTTGGTTGGTGGTGCAGTGAAAGAAACTGCTAGCCTGGTCTTTGGCTGATAGGCAGTTACAGGCTATAAACCTGCAAGTCTCTCACTGTAAAGCAGCTCCTGCTGGTACTCATTGTATTAAAAACTTACCTGCATTTGAAAATTAAGTAGAATTCTATTATTAAGATTCCACCCCAACTTCTAAACCCAACTCAGTTTAGAAGGTGGAAGAGTTCACCTTGATCTCGCTGTTACGCTTGTTCTGTTCCCTTTGGAGCATCTGAACACGAACTGGCACAGTTGGATCGTTCCTCTGGGAATGCAGGGGGTTAAAATGTTCTCTGTGTGTCTTGACAGGAACAAGGACTTTCAAGAAGTTACCCTAGAAAAGGATGGGGAGACAGTGCTGCGTTTTGCAGCAGCTTATGGCTTTAGAAATATCCAAAACATGGTCCTGAAGTTGAAAAAAGGAAAGTTTTTCTACCATTTTGTGGAAGTCCTTGCCTGTCCTGGAGGTAAGAATAATTGTGGATCTGCAATTGTTCAGCACATGTATCTTGAATCTCAGAGGAAAGCTGCCTTACAGGCAGGCACTTAATTTCATTCCCTCTTAATTCTCTTCTTAATAATCTAAAATCTCACTATTTATTGGAGTGTCCAAAACACCAATTACAGTTGCAGGATTGGTTCAAAAAATGATTGAGTTTTCTAAAATTAGTCACAATATTACTTGTTCTCTTCTGACCTATAAATAAGTGCCTGCACTGCCAAACCTCAGAGGATGCTCTGAAATGGTGGCTGTCAAGGGCAAGAAAAGACAAGGAACATAATTAGGATCATAAAACCATGGAGAATGCAGAGAAAGATTGTTGATATGGAAACCTCATTTCCATTAAGATGAAGTTGATACCGGAGTCACTTTAGGTAAATACAAATTGTAACAGTGTGGGGGCAAGTTAAAAAAAAAAAAAAAAGTCCTTTAGAGAAGTGTGAAAAAAAAAATTCTGAGTTAACAGAGACTTTCTTTTCACATCAAATCTCCATCACCTTCTATGTTTTTCATTTATTTTTTCCCTAAGGGTGCCTCAATGGAAAGGGCCAGGCCCAGACAGAGGATGGCAAACCAGACAGAGCCCTGCTTGCCCAGATGGAAGAGGTGTACACCGCGATTCCCATCAGGCTGCCAGAAACCAACCTGCACGTCCAGAGGATGTACCAGGACTGGCTGGAGGGCATGGACTCCAAGAAGGTCCAGGACACTTTGCACACCACGTACAGTGCAGTAAATCAAAGCACGAGCAGTTTGGATATCAAATGGTAACGGGTGCAGGTGCAGAGCTGTGCTGAGGCTGCAGGGCAGCGCTGGAACCCTCTGCAATCGCGGCCACTGGGCACCGGCGAGGGCACAAGGGAGGCTCTGCCCAGCTCGGGACTGTTCTTGGGAAGAACCACTGCTTTGCAAAAGTTCTTGGGAAAAACCATTGCTTTGCAAAACCAGAGAAGTCTCCAAAAGCCCTGGTTCCTGCCACTGTCATTTAACTCTTAATCTTTGTCATTTCCTGCATAGAATGGATTTCTTCATTCTAAAGCCTGATCTTGCAAGGTACATAAGCCCTTTCTACCAGGGACAGGGAGTGCAATTCCTGATCAAGTTACTCCCTGAAGTGAAGGGATCACTGCATTAAACAGGCTCCTCCAGGAGGCTGAGATGATTTTACTTCTAGGTCTGCAGTCCCTATCATCACAGGAGAACAGTCAACAGGAATTTCAGTATTGACGCAGTTGGTGTGAAGTAAATTGGGATTTACTTACCTTGTTAAGGAAAATAACCTTTTAAAGGACAAGTGAGTATACGGAAAGATGTAATGAATTTCTATAAGCCCTGTATCCATAATTCAGCAAAAAATACTCAGTTCCAAACTAGCCACCATTTCTTACTGATGTAGTGTCACAGAATGCTTCACAGAAACTGAATCTGGGAGTGTAATGCTAAATGGTTCATTTGAAATAGTTCCAAAGAGGTTGGTTGGTACAAGAAGAGAACTTTGTTTCCTTGTAAGTTTTCTGCTAAGCTTGCAGCCAGAAGGAGTGGTGCTGCATGCTTTGGCTTCTCTCTGAGAGTGGAACATGCCCAGATTGTTCTTTCATTTGTCTCCATGTTGAAAGACTTGTGCAAAAAATAACTTCCTGGGGTGCCTCTGAGAAAAAATACTGAGCAATGCTTGTGAGCTCATCAGAGTTACAATACATTGGCATCATGAATTTTGATGCACTTATTTTTATAAATATGCTATAGAGGTTCATTAACAGACATTGTGAAGTGGTACTGCCGTGCAGCTTGTCTGCAACTTCCCCAGTTGTCAGAGAGTTAATGAAGAATGTGATGGACAAAAGAAATTAAGACTCCTGCCAGACTAATTCAGATTTTCCTGGTAGCATCAGATCTGTTCACAATTAATGGCTGTTTGAATCTAGCAAAGTTCTAGCTTTCCTTATGCAGCCTGAAAGTGTGGATGAGCTTTTTTAACTATTTCATGGCAATTTGAACGAATCTTCTTGCAAATTTCTTCAATATTACAACTGCTTGTGTAAGAAATCCTGCAAAAGTGTTTAAAATACACATTTAACCTGGACACAGTGGAATGGGATGAAGCATCAGGGAAGGCAGGGCAAGACCTGGCATTGGCTAGACCAGGGAGGCTGAAAAGGAGAGAGACAGTGAAGTGTCACCCTGCTGACAAGAAATAGCCCTCTTAATGTGAAGCTGTTAAAAATGGCAGCTTTCCATTGGACCTCCACCTAAATAACAAACTATTGCATGTGGAGGGAAGTTTCCTTTCAAAAAGTTGATTAGTGCACTACCTGAATGCCCACAATGAGATTATGCCCATGAATTATAGAAATTAGCCTTTGCAAGTTGTTCCTTGTGGTAAGAATGATACATAACGTGGTGCAATATCAGAACATCGACAGAAATCTACCTCTGTATGGGAAAGGGAGTCCAGGAGTTCCGGGAAGAGCTGTGTGTAGCTGGAACTGTAAAAATGTCTGCTACAGAAAGGTGGGGGTGTTGTGTGACATTTCAGAACAGATTACTTTCAGAAGCAACATACACCTCCTTCGGTCTGATTTTCTTTATCTGCCGTGATTTCCTCCAAAAACTCCACCAGAATAATGTAATAAAGTGGTCCTGTTCAGTTTGTATAGGCCTGTTTCTCTGTATATATGGTTTGTAGCTGGATGCATGTTTAAATTATATCGCTGCTGCTCTTTGTACAGTGTGCTTATTTTTTTATGTGTGTGTACTGGGTGAAATGGTACAAAAACAAGAAATCTTCAGTAAGCTACACAAGAGCTGCCTTGCTGTTCTGAAAGCAGAGCCCTGGACTGTTTGTACAACGTGATGGATCCTCCCCAGGGCTGGATGGCACTTCGGCCAGTGCTTGCCTGCTGCTGTCCCTGTGCTGCTGGGGGAGCCCAGGACTGGGCTGGGCAGTGGCTGAAACAAATCTGCTCTGCTCCCAGAGCAAGGGAAACCAGTGGCTCAGTGTCTAAAATGACCTGTTTCAGCTGGATCCACCATTCCTTCCCTCTGCTCAAGGGTTTTAACCTATTGAGGTAGTCACAGTGCAGAGCTGTTAATGATTTATCTTTTTTAAAGACAAGGAAGGCATCTAACTGAGCTTGCAGTGGCCACACAGAATGTGTTATCATCAGTGACCTAACTAACTGAGACTTGTCTTTTTTATTTCTTTTTTGGTCAGCTTTTGTTTTATAATACTTTATTTGGCGTAAAATATTTTCATTTTTTAAAGGCCTTTTCTTTAAAGTGCCAGTTTAAAAGGAAAGATCCATCCCATTAATCTTTCCCCCTTCTTTCACTGAAATTTTAACATATATCAGAAAACCTTGTTGCAGCTTCATATATAGTGAAGTACTTGCCTAAGGTTTGATTCTGACTTTTAAATCTGCAGTTGGAAAGTCCATTAACATCGACAATACGTGTAGTTTGTAGCCACGCTTCTGAAATTACAGTACCATTTAATTCCCTGATTCCCTAATAATTTCTACTGCTACTGTCTTTTCAACAACAGGAAAAGCTCCTGACGTGGCCACAGCCATAGTGCTTTACCTCTGCCTTGAATGTTGTGCTGAGACAAGGGGATTTTTAGAAAATTATAAACTGGAGGGATTGTGGGAAAGGAATTGGACATAGTAAATGAATTAATAAAATTGTCTTGGGATGTTCTTGACTTGAGCATGATATGCTGGATTCTTGGGGTTATGGTTCTTTGCACTGAGATTGTTCCAGCACGTTTTGAAGTCCCTTTGCCTGGTGCAGGAGGATTCCCTCAGCCACAGCACCTGTGTGTCCCCTGTGGCCAAGGACCCGAGCAGCCCTGGCTGTGCTGTCCCCCAGAGTAATGCAGATACCCAAATGCAGCACTCTCAGCTGGATTATATCTGGATGATGTTCAGTTACCCAAATTTTGGTGCTTTGTTTTCAAGTGCAGCATGACCATGAATTGTGAATAAATCTCAGTGTTCAATTCTGTGCTGATTCTGTCTCATTCCATGTAAAAGTTTCTTTAAGTAGACCTGGTTTTACCCAGGGGGTTTGTCTGGGGCACATCTGTTGGACTTTTCAGCTGCAGCTGAAACTCTGCTAAATGAAAGGGGGAAGTTGCCAGATTGCTGCTGGAAATGGTGATTTGCTCTCTAGATTTATCAATATATTGATTCCTTGCAAGGCAGACAAGCCCCTGTGGCTGTAAAGCTCTTGTGTCTAGGAGAAGGATGTTGGTGCCTGAAGGCAGCCTGTGAGAGTGGCTGCTTGTGCTAAAGTTACTGCATGGAGTAACTTAAAACACTGGAAAAGGTCTTTGTTTGTGTGTGACCTGATCCAACAGTTGAGGGAAGGATGAAAATCAGCCCTGACATAGACAAGGAATTTCTTTCACCACTAGGCTGTGTGAAAATTTAATGAATTCAGCAAACATTTCCATATGTTCTCCTGAGCAGCTGGGACCTGGATTTCTACTAAATCATAACTTGATTTGAAGGAATTCTGTGGTTTTGTTCAAGGGCCAGCAAGGCAGGGTTACCTGGCCAGAGGAGGAGGAGGAGCTGTTAAACAGAGCAGACTTATTCCTGTTGCTGTGTAAACAAGTGACTCGTAGGACAGGTTTGGAGGAGGGGGAGCCAAGGTATTAAGATGTCCTTAGCTGCTCTGGAAACGAAAAATAACTACTGGAGGTTTGTGTCAACGAAGCAGAGGGAATATCCATTTAAATTGTGCAGAGTTTATCCAAAAACATTGCATTTCTGCCCTTATTTTCCAAGTGAGCAGTTGGAATCAATTTCAGTTGCATCTGAAAAATAATGTCCAAATTTTAAAGTTCCACGGTGTAAATGCCTTTTTTCCTCCCCCCCCCAAAGTACTTAATGTAAAACAGCAGTAAAATACAATGAAGCACCACGAAATTACAATGAATTACCCCTAATTAAAAAGCAGTAAGAATTATATAAAGTCTTTGGTCAAATTGATTGCGCTGAAGAAAATTGGGAGGAGCGTGGCAGGAGCGTGGCACATGAAGGTTACTTCATGTCTGCGTTGCTGAGCTGGATCTTCATCGCGGTCCGGTCTGTCCCTGAGCTGGGGGGCACAAAAACAGAAACCTGGGGTAGGTTCTACCGAGATTTGAACTCGGATCGCTGGATTCAAAGTCCAGAGTGCTGACCATTACACCATAGAACCGGGCGGTGCCTCTGGCCTCCGCCAGTCCCCACAATTAATCCACAGCAAGCAAAGCCGGGGGGACTTCGCCGCCCGCCCTGCCCTTGCGCCCGGGGTGACCGGCGGCAATTTAACCCAAATATCCGTGTTTGTCCCGAGCTTCTGCGGTATTCGGTGTCTTCAGAGAATCGTGGAATGGTTTGGGTTGCAGGGACACCTTCCACTATCCCAGCCTGACCTTGAATGTTGCCGGTGATGGAGCATCGAGTTTCTCTGGGCACCCCGTGCCAGGACCGCGCCACCCTCAAAGGGAAGAATTCCTTCCCAATATCCCACTAATCCTCCCTCCGGCAGAGTGAAGCCATTCCCCCTTGTCCTGCCACCCCAGTCCTTTGTCCAAAGTCCCTCTCCAGCTCCCCGTTTGGCCACTAGAAAGCCACAATAAGGTCACCCCTGGTATATTGAGGGCAGCAAGTAAACATGAACATCTGCTGTCAGAGGCACCCCAAAACCTCATCCCTGCAGAGCTCAGCAGCTGCTGCCAGCTTTGCTGATGCAGAATTTAGAACTGTGTTTCCACACAGGCGATTCAAAGCACAGAAAGAAAGGGAAGCAATAATGCTGTGACATGTCTGAGATTCTTCAGATAATTTGTCAGAAAGTACTAACCTGGATGCAATAAATAATAGATGGGGGGTGAACCAGGAAAGCTCTCTGGTTACTTTCCTACTTTAGGTGCGTTTTTTACGAGGCGTGGGATGTTTAGGGCACTCCAACAGCCCATGCAAAACGCCGTCAAGCCATTCTCCATGGTTCTGAGCAGTAAAGAAATGTGGTTGCGGCAAAAACTTCCAGGTTCCACCGAGATTTGAACTCGGATCGCTGGATTCAGAGTCCAGAGTGCTAACCATTACACCATGGAACCGCACAGTGCGACCCCCCGAGCCGCGCCTACTGAGCCAAATACAGGGAGAAAAACATTCCACAATTTTTATGGATCTGTCAACAAAACCCCTGCCTCGTTCTTCTTCCATGTATTCCGCACGTACTCATTCCATGTAAGAATTACACTATTTATTTCTCACGTTCTACAGCCCTGAAAACAACGCCCTCTGAGAAGCACTGTGGCATTAAATAAATTCACGGAGCCTTTTTCCTCAGATCATGCCATCCAGAGGCCGAACACAGACTTTCAACATCATGATTTCACGTTTTTTTTTGCTTTCCTGCACTTTCTGCTGGGAGCGTGCTTGCTATGTTCGGCATTGCCACAATGTTTCATTTCATCCAGCAAGGCAGGAGAAAACGACAGATGTGTGGAAGGAGTTTTTGCTGCCTAATTAAAGGCGTGGATCTCCTGGAGCGGGTCAGACGAAGGGACCAGGATGCTCAGAGGAGCACTTGTATGAGGAAAGGCCGAGAGAGCTGGGGCTGCTCAGCCTGGAGCAGAGAAGGCTCCTGGGTGACCTTGTGACATTTCAGTGTATAAGGGAGCTTTCTTATGAAAGATGAAGAAAAATCTTTTCCCAACAAGAGTGCTGAGGCACTGGCAGAGGGTGCCCAGAGATGCCCCATCCCTGGAAACAATCAAAGCCAGGTGGGACGGGGCTCTGAGTAACTTGGTGTGTCCCTAACCATGGCAGGGGGTAGGACTAAATGGTCTTTAAGGCTTCCTTCCCACCCAAACCATCCTGTGACTCTACAGACCTTCAAAAAGCATGTTATAAATTAAATTAGAATTTTTATAACTAGGTCCCTTGACTTAATACTAGTTTAATTTAAAATAAATACAATTTACTGAATTTAATAGTAATTTGGTAAAAAATAATACAGTTTAGTAAAAGAATACAATTTAGTAAAAAATTACAATTTATATATGTAATTTGCCAGTAATTAAGTATGATTAAAGCATAAGCAAAACCGACCGGGGTACAGGGAGGGCTTTATCACCCCACCTCACGTACAAAACAAAGCACTTCAAGCTAAACTTATATACTGTATGCTTATACATATTCATTAATGTTTCTCGTAAGTTTCCTTCTATTTACGATTTTTTTTTTACTTTATGTCACTTTTCTTCACGGCACTTGCCTCACTTGTTGTTAGGGGATCCCCAGTCTTCTTTTCGTGGTCTTTTGGTGAAGGTTTCTCCTCTTCCTCGTTGTCCTCTGGATAACCTCACAGGTTTGTGTGTGCGTACTAAGTGTTGTGTTGTCTAAGTCCACTAACTAGTCTGATATTTAATGATTTTTAGGCCCAATGCTTAAAGTTGTTCTAATTTTGTCCATCTCAAGGCTGTTTTCATCTTGGGACATCACTAATCTTCCAAACTACATCCTGTACGTCAATTTTAACATGTAACATCTGTAAAGTGGTACATCTGCCTTGTAACACTGATTCTTTTGATTGCTTCTAATATTAACTTTAATAACAGTCACAATTTAGTTAGCACGAATCAATTCCTTTTATTACAGTCACTAGAAGAACGGCTGTAGGCATCTTACTGCTCAGCGCTCTGTCCGTCCTTCCCTTGCACCAGCCGT